CCACACACCATAGTCTGTATTTTTGTTTAAATGTCTACCATGTGACAGCAGATACAATTATTACAACTCTGATGGATTCTGCGCTAATACCAAACGTCTATTTGTCAAAAATGTGTCACCAGGTTTATGAACAGCAGATTGCCAATTTCAAGAATGACATGAGCCTCGCCATCCAGATAAATCCAATAAAATCTAATTCATGTTTGCCGAGCGCCGGTGGTAAGTGGGATTCATTTTCTAGCTTGTTTTCAGACTGTAAATATTGTTACCTGCATTCAAGTACATCTTGTGAGGTTGGAAAAAGAGAAATCAAAGACCTTGTTTGGGTTAGAAAGACCTTGTGGCATCATGGTTTTCTTTTTCTCAACGATTTGTTATAAAGGAAGCAAAAATATTCACTTGAAGTCATGAATATCTGGTTAAGTTGCATGCTTAATGGATGAAATGAAAACGAATTGACATTACTCTAATAGAAAAAATTGTAAGCAGATTTTAATGATTGAAGAAGGTCTAAACTGAAAATGTTCCCTTTTCTCAATGCTGTATAGATATCATTATGAACCAAAGAAGCTTACAATTAATTGATAGAATCCACTGAATGTGAATCCCATCATCTCATGACTGCAGCTGGCAGTAACAAATTCAACATTTATTAGTTTGCTTTGAAGCTCATTGCAACCGCCACATTTATATTTATGAGTGCCATGTTTATTATTTTAACAGTGGCTTTTCCTGCTCTTGACAGCCCCATGCAGAACTGAACTGAGATCAGAAAGGTGTTTTGCATTTCACATATCAGCGCAGACTATGACAAAAGCTCAGAATATTTGTATCAGGCACACACCCACAGAGAAAACGGTGAAGTGCCAATCTGATTTTCTCAAGGCGCTATCACATGTAAGTCTCAGTTCCCTTGAGAGGCAAGGGAGAAAGTGATAGAGGTAGATAAAAAGACAGAGATGCTGGAGATGCACGCATAAAGAGGCAGATAGAAATATTTCTGCTACAGAAATAAAAACTGTTCATTAAAGCAAATCTGAAACTCAGCTTGCAATGGAAATAATGCAGAAGTATATAATTGGTGCTCATACTGAAAAATAAGACCACCTACAGTTGACAAGCAATCTCTCTCTTTCATGTTTCTATGGCACATTATTATAAGAAAGTGATGCCCCTGTATATTTTGGTCACTTATGAGAGCCTTTACGCATTTTCACATTGTTCAATAACGCAGTGATTTAACAATTTGTCAAACAAATGAGAAAAAGTGTCTTGCAAGTAATCAGGCAACGAAAAAAGGCTGGATGTGGCTTTAGTGCAGATTTACTTTATAAGACATTGTAGGTTTCATGCTTTAAATAAGCTTTTTTTTTACAAGATGCATAAATAGGGCCAACTGCCAAGGTTATACTAAAGGTTATTATATATTTGTGAATGCAAAATAAATAAACACAATGTCCTTTTTTTGTCAAAAGGTTAAAACAGGTTATCTTGTAATCTGACATGTGGTTAAACAGGGGTTAAGGGACGAGTTACAGTAGACCTTTGCGTAGAAACATATTTCATATCTTGTTTAATGTGAATAAAGTGAATCATCAGGTGCAGATTACATTCCAAGAAAAAGCCTCGTTATCGCAGTGGCAGCTTTATAACACTTAGAGCATGGCTAATGGCACATTTTACAAGGCTACAATCATTGATTTGACTCCTCTGCTGTAGAGGCGTTCACTTACTTGCTCCTACCAAGAACATGCCGCTGCCAAAAAGCAACAGGACCACGGAGTTGACCAAAACAAGCAGGCGAGCCATTTCTCGAAGGGTATCGCTGCTCCTCTTAGAATAAATTGCAGATATCCTACGCTTGAAGGGCAACTAATTCACAGCTGTTCATTTTCTTTGATGAATGAATGAACAGTCACTGGCTGTTTCGGGGTCGAGGTGGTCAGTAAATAGATAGCCAGTGAAAGAACGTGACAAATGATGTGTTCAGGAACATGTTGCCGAAGCGGATTCTTCATTTAGGTTTTAAATCCACAAGTCCTTAAAATGTGTTGTCGAAAGTGTAGACGTCCATCATCCTCGAGAGCTCATATGAAACAGGGAAAGGATGACGCTCGCGGGCTCGTCGGTCCCCTCACCGCGGGGCCATTCAGCAGCATGGACAGCGCCTTAAGTTAAAATTCACCGTGCCTTTTAGCGTTCCGCAGACCAGTGTTCACGGCTGGTTGCGGGGATGGTCATCACTGCAGTGCTTTCTTGATCTAGAAGCCATGAGACCCTCGCAATTAGCATTTCAGCTCAAATGCATGCGCAGCACACCGTGATTAATGCTCCACGTGCCAGCAGCGGCTCTGCTGCCTATCTGCTCACACGGCTGCTTGAACATTTCCTCAACAAAATAAGCTAATATGTAGCTTAATAAGTAGTGTTTTAATGTTGTGTTGAATAGAGGCGGTCACTTGGTGAACATATTGTAACATATTGATCCGTCAGAGTTTGTTTGCAATGTGCCACTGTTTTGATTATTACACCCATTTGTATCATACAGATGCAGGACATGCACACGCCTGTTACCGACAGGTAACAGGCGAAACTCTCTAGTCTTATTAATTTAAGCCTTTTCTTATTAAAAATATCGAGTCTGACATGATTACGTGTTCAGCTCAAAAATATGCATTCATTCACAAACTAAATCAGGACACCTTTAAAGTTTTACGTCCGATTCGCTCCTTTTTTCCTCTCACACAGCTCCAGTTTGGGCCAATATTGGCCTGTCATCAGATTACATTTGTATTTGCTGCTGTAGCGGAAGTTTAGTGAAATTATTTTTGATTAAATACTCCAAATCTCCACCCTCCATAATTGCACTTGCTTCAGTTGCTTGCTACTTTCTAACGGCGGTGATGATGACAGTTACAGACAGTACTGAAGTTGATGCGATTTGATTGGATTGTGAGGGAAACCAGCCGCCTCTGGCTTCCCTTGGCATGGCCCTGACCCAGGGCCGAATTCACCATATACATTGGGGGACACACATCCCCCCCAATATTCAGATACGCTCAAAATGTCCCCCCAAGTATAGCCTAACTGATATAAAACAATTAAAATAAAGTTGCTATTTTATGACTTTTTTATTTTGGCTATTTGTATAGGCCTACTTGAAAATCTTTATTTTCTGTTATTGTGAACTTCACCAAAATGATATATTATTTTCATATGTAAATTGGTTCCGCCTTTGTTTGTTCATGCATACCTTTATTTTGTAGCCTACCTGGGGGGTGTATTTCGCTGTCGCACGTCCGAGTCCAGCCTCAGTTAGCATTGATGCTCCAAGCAGGTCGGTCATGTTTTAATTTGCCCTCCATCAGTTCTGGTATCTTTTTCTAGTTATCCCTAAACTATATTATTTTATTTCGTATGGTAATGTTAATGAACCCTCCGGTTTAGCTTCTTTGTGTAAATAACTTGTAGTTCTGATGTTAAAAAAAAGTGAGTCCGTGGCCCGTGATGGCGGGTGTTATAAATTAGATTGCATAATCGTTTTTCTTCATATTTTATGTATTTTTCATTGTTTGTTCAATACTAGAAAGGTAAAAGTCCCACAAATGAACTGTGATGGGATTTGTTTTCTCTCACCAGTGAAGGTAAATGTTGATTTTAAAGATGAGATTTGTTTGTTTGTGCAATGCCGAGATCTCATGACCATTATTCTATTATGTATTTGTTCTCTAGTCGAATCTCAGGTTTAACATTAATTATAACGGTGCTATAACGGTCTGTTTGTATTGACAAGATGTGCTATTCACGCGGCACACCTGATGGCGGGTGTTATAAAAGATATTCCATAATCGGTTTTCTTCATATTTTTTAAGTAGGCTATTTTTCATTGTTTGTTCAGTACTAAAAGGTCCAAGATGTCCCACAATTGAATTTAATATTCATTTGACATGTAATATGTAATATATCGTAAAGCGCTTCATGGGAGTAATTGTGGGATGATACATTTTCAAAGTATCACGATATGTATCGGTTGAGTATCGGTATCGTTCAGTGGTATCGGTATCGTAAAAAAGTCAACGATATGCATCCCTACCCCGGACCCCCCTAGAGGAGGTTAGGGCTACCACCTGCCCACACCCCCCGTCAAATTGTCCCACCCACATTGAGGATGCTTCCATACGCGCATGCCTGAGACACAGTTTTGTGAATATTGTTGTTTTTTGCCCCCACGGGCTGGGGCATGGGGTTTAACAGGTTTTAAAGTATCCCATGTGTTAGTGATTTTTTATATATTTGCCTTTAGAATGGCAGTAAATTAGTATTCAAATTCTAATCACATTTTTTGGTCCCCCCCCAAATCATTATAATGACCTGCAACATTAATATGATGACTTTTCATTATAATACAATAATACATAGCACTCTGCAGTCTGCACACTGAGTACTTTAAAAGTCTCCTATTATTCTGTTTCTCATCAATATAGCACAGGTCTCAGATATATACAGAACCTGTCTCTGATTGGCTGAAACACCAAACAGATCATTGCAGCATCCCATAATCCCCTCTGTTTCAGCCCTGTTTCTAAAGTGATGATTCTCTGTCTGTTACTTTAGATGAAAATAAGGAGCCCCTCCCCACGCCCCTCTGAGAGATATTTGGTTAAAAATAACACAATGGTGCTCTGGGAGGATATTCAGGTGATAAGGAGGGGGGGGGGTTACCTAGGTTGCTGATTGGCTAATGGTTACACAAGACAAAACATCGTTATGACATCATAAAGTGGCCAAAATCTGATCAGCTCATTTTCAGACAGGTTTTTATATAAATGGATCAGGACAAAAAGAGAGAGATTCTTTTTTCCTGAAACGTTCAGAGTCTCTTTACACAGAGGGGACACATGTTGATGTAGAAGAGACATGAACAAGTGGATTTTGCAGAATAGGGGACCTTTAACTCTGTTTTAACACAGACAGGTACAGACAGAGAGACAGACAGGTACCTGTGCAGGTAGAGCATCGAGCTCCTCCAGCAGGTCTCTCTTGATGTCGTCCACCGGCCCCTCTCTCTCCAGCTTCCCCCCAAGACTCCACCATTTCTGCAGGAGACATCAATCACATTAACACCTGTTGTCCTTCCTGGTGGTCCAATCAGAGCTGCTGCCTTCATCAGGTGATCTCCATGTGATAATTCAAGCCCTTAGGATCAGTAAGTACTCCTATCTGTTACTTGAGTAAAAGTAGAAGTAGTTATGATGATAAACTGAAGCATTTTCAAAATCAACCCAATTAACTGAGTTTTAAATCGTCCTACTTAGTTTATAAGGAAATTATTAAGAGGAACAAATTAAATGATTTGAAAATTATATCTATGTAGGTGCTGATGCTGTTGGCGGTTCTAGTGTTAACATACATTTTAAATTAAATATGTGTAATGGGAGAGTGTTGTCTGGTTGGTTGGTTGGTTGGGTGTGGAGGAGGGAGGTTCCTAGAGGGAGAGACGGGGAATGCTAGGAGAGAACTAACGGGGTATGTGACGGAGATTAAGAACTTAACAGAGTTAGTAGATTGTGTTGGCGCAGTTATGGCCGACAGTAACGATACGATACGACACGATATTACTTTATTTGTCAGATCAAGTCTGAAATTTGACTTGCGTCACAGCAGCTCCATGTCCAACACCAATAGACAAATATCCAGACAAAAATACATGAAACACAAACAACAAACATTTAACATAACAGCACAATCAGTGAGAGAAAAGCTGCTCAAAGAGCCTTCAGCGTGCATTTGATCTAGGATTCAGCTCTGTATATACTGTGAGGATTGACTGATGCACAAAGGAGTGCTTCAGTCTGACTTTATTGAATCGTGGGACCCTGTATCTCCGATTAGATGGTAGCAGTTCATATTCACTGTTCAGAACATGGTTTGGGTCAGAGATGATGTTGTTGGACAGCCTCACTAGGTTGTTATGCTGAGTCATAGAGTCTCTGACAGGGTTGACCAACACTCTTTGAGCAGATTTTTAACAGGTGGAGCAGTTTTGATTTTAAAGCTGCTGACAAACACTTGTACCAGGTAGTATTGCAGTACTGTAGAATGGACATGATCACAGATGTAAAGAACAACAGAAGAATTTCTCTGCTCGCCCCAAAAGACCTAAGACGGCGGAGAAAATAAATTCTTTGTTTTGTCCTTTTGCACAGATATTCAATGTGATCCTTCCATGACAGCAGATGGTCAATCATTACACCCAAGTATTTGTATGAAACTCCCTGCTTGATTTCATCTGTATGGATGACAATGAGGACTTTATGGGAGTCAGATGGTGAGCCATTTCCTCAGTTTTCTTGGTGTTGATCTCAAGAGCATGTTATCAGTCCACTGAGAACCTGTGATCTTCATAATAAACTCCCGGATAAAGGACAGGCAAAGCCTCCCTGTGTTTCTATAGCGAGACGCTACAATATGTTCTATGCCTAACAGAAAAGAGCAATATAACACACAATTAATGCTTTACTAATGCTCTAGCTAGCTTATTCACTAAACTAGTTTTCAAAGATGTTATTGTCATTCAAAAGCTACAATGTAGTTATGGCAGTTTATTCTAAGTCCTAGGCTCTTTCAACAACGCAACATAAATATATACAAGACAGAAAACAATACAACACTAAAAAGTAGTGCAAACAAATAAATAAAATATAATAGTGCAAGAGAATGTTGCAAGTGACCAATGTGCAGGTAAATACGTAAGAAGTACACTTTATACATGTAAAAAGGAATAAGATGAGGTTAAATTAAATACTGTAGAAGGATAAAATACTGCTTATTTTAGGTATGAATAAATAACTTGTGAGAATGTGTTGTATTCAGCCAACCCCCCTGTCATATGTTATGTATAGAAAGCTCAGACAGACGCTTTCATATTTTATCAGCAACACAAGAAGCTAATATTTACCCCAACAAAGTGAAGAATGTTGACATTAGGGACTGTTTTCATTCACTAAATCAAAATCTGTTCCAAGGCTTGCAGAAAAGAAAATTAAACACAAAATAGATGCTTTATAATTGCTCTACTTTATACACTAAACCATTGGTAAGAAATGGGTTTTAGCCAATCCCCCTGTTAAGTGTTCTGTATAGCCCAGTGGCTTCCCAGCTAGAAATGTTTGGTTCTAAAAACATTCTGAGAATGTTAGTCATTGTTCTAGGAAGGTTTTCAGCGGGAAGTTTTTGTTTGGTTTCCAGAACGTTCTTCTGAAAGGTAGGATAACGCTCTCTAAAAACATTCTTAAAATGTTTTTGCTAACATTGTTAGAACATTATGCCCTACTGTTCTTTAAACATTTTCAGCTGCAAGTTAGATTGTTTATGTTGCCAGAATGTTATTATTTTAGAGAAGGATAACATGGTTTATGTTAAAAAAAGTATGCAAATGTTCTGTGGTAACAATTTACTAACCCACTAACAGGGGTTTCAGGGACGGGCAGTGATTTTCTAAGTGTTATTCGATCCATATGACCATAGAGATATGTGCATAAACAACAAAAACACTTGGGGTATAATGTTCGAACAATGTTATCACCAAACATTTTAAGAATGTTTTTAGAGAACGTTATCCTACCTTTCAGAAGAACATTCTAGGAACCAAAATAAAACTTCTAGATGAAACATTCCTAGAACAATGAATGGTAACATTCTCAGAATGTTTTTAGAACAATGTCTAGCTGGGAACTCAGACATGCCTACGCAAACGTGCAATATCATGAATTACGTGCTTGTTTTTTTCTAAAAAGGAAAATGTGGTGACATCAGATTTCTTTTAAACATCCTTTTCAAACAAATGCAGCAAGTTTGTTTTTTAAAGCGCACTACAAATAAATCTGACGTTGACCATGACCATGTTAATATTTCACATCACAGGAACATTTTATAAAAAAAGAATAACCTCCTGAAAACATTATCCAAATGTTGCTTTCAAAATGTTCTTCTTTGGTTATCATGTAACATTGAGGGACCGTTTTATAAAGAACATCTTTAATGTGTTAAATGTTCCCAACAACGTCCAAAACACATCCTTAGAATGTTGGAGGCAAAACGTTCCACCTTTGTTAACATATCACATTAAAGGAACGTTTTATAAATAAACTTTCTGTCATCTCAGGCCTCAATAACATCCTGAAAACATCCTCTGAATGTTGCAGTTAAAACATTATGTCTTAGTTAACCTTAAACCTTATAGGAACATTATTTGAAAAAATAAACATCCTAAAAAGGTTCTTTGAACATCAGATTAAAACGTTTCTTTAAAACCTTATTAGAACCAATAGGTAACGTTAGCCAAAGTTGTGAGAACGTTCCCCGCTAGCTGGGTTCTCACCCATCATGCAGTGCACAGCCCCGCCTAAGACTCCCCATGTTATCAGGAAGATGAATCATGTTGATAGGCTGAGGGCATTGCCCCATGAGACAAGCGTTCCACATCAAATTGCTTGTCTAAGGGGAATCTGCAGGCTACTTTATTCATGACACGGCGTAGAAGTCATTAAATATGGGAGACTTATGGACGAATTAGGAATCAGAAGATGGATGCAACGGATATGGAAATCAAATCATGCAAATATTAGTTTATAACTGCATAAGAGCAGATAAGTAACTCCCAAGTCACTCAGAAGCATGTTGATCCTTTTAAAAGTGTATTTCTACATGTTTGTCTGTGAAATTAAAGATTTTGGTGGTCAGGAAAAGATTGTTAAAAAGATCCCCCTCCCCTTCTCTGAGGTGTTGCCATGGTTTCAATGTGCTCAGTGTGAGCTAGAGCAGATAAAAGCTTTTATAAAAGCATTTAAGACAGATATGAAATACTGGAGTTACCATGACAGCTGTCTATTTCTAGCTTTGGTATTTAGCTCAATAGCAGACACTGAAATATGGGGTATTGTGGTGACCACTCAATGTGTTTTGACCTTTGGTGTTGAGTTTCTTTTCAGAGATGTAAAGTCTATGGCTGCAGTCGAATAGTCCATTTAGCTTAGGAACCTTCCTAACCGAGTGAAATGACCCGGAAACCTGTAACTCTGTTAATATAAAACCCACACTGCTCAAACTTCGTTACTGTTCCTAAAATTGGTATATTTATTTATTTTGAGGCGTGGGGAATGAAGAGAAAAAAATATATGAGCATTTTATGAGCATGGGATTTTGACCCCTCATATAAACATATGCATAATGCTGCGCTATACTTTGCGGCCACAAGCCGTTGCCAAGCAACGCTTATTGTTTACGTGTCCTATGATAAGCAGGCAGTCATATAATTTACTAGAACTAGCTAGATCTGATAGATTTGGACATAAACGCGAGTGAAGTATAACCGGACGCGAGAGAGATCAGAGATCAGCTGCTGCCGGCCGAGAACACGCAGCTCTGCATGATCACAGCTCCCCCGCTGTGACGGACCGTTGAGTGGAGCAAAATGAAATAGGCTAAGAGGACATATATCTGTAATAAGACTAAGTTACTGCCTTGCTGGAAGTGTATTTGTAAACCTCTTAGGCTCAACTCCATGATATACAGTACATCTGCTAATATATTCCTGTGAAAAAAGGCAACAGACTCAAACTTCTCACATTAATCAACAGATTGAAGAACATACAGAACAAGAACATCTCTCTGCTTAACTGTTTCCAATATTAAAAATGTATTCATTAGATAACTTTATCTGCCTTTATATAATATCCCTTCTTAATCAAAATGCAGCAAAGAGATGTAAACGCAAATGATTTGCATCCAATCTTGTTGCAGAGCGTAGGAATATCCCTGCTCTGATTTCTGGAAACGGAAAAGCAGTTTTTATTGCTTATGGATTATCAGAACATTTCAAAGGGGACACAGACACATTGGATTAACCTATGGATTAACTACAACATCGTTTTTATCGTTTGAATGCCATTGAAGACCAGTTTGGACCAGACCTAAGACCAAGGTAAACCACGTTTTGGGCTACCTAGCGCCACATGTTTTGATGTAGGTTTTTGTTATTTTCTCCTCGAATTTGTAATCTTTGAGTGTTGAGGTGGGTACCATTATATTCTGTGTC